GCGCGCTTTTCCGTTGTCATCACAAAGATTCAACGAGTCGATAATTGACTGCATTTACAAGGTGGATTATATTGCGACAAAAATATCAAGGGATTAATAATGTTCGCGGACGCCGAAGAAACGTCGGCGGGAGTTCACGGGAAAAGAAGAATCATCGGGAGGGAGAGGAGAGAGAAAGAGAGAAAAAGAGAGAGTGAAAGAGCAGATTAGAAAGAAGAGAAGAGACGAAGAAACGGCAAAGAGGAAGACGTGGATTTCGCGTCTTCTGGAAGATGATGCACGAGCGCACGGGAATGACAGCCGCATCCGGTGCTATTCGGGATGGAAGAGAGAGGAAAATGCATTTTCCCGGGGTTTATTTAACTGTGCCACGTTATACGCCAGATGATAGACCGCCACCAGTGTTTCCCGACTAATGCGCGCCGTGCCCCCTCCCACGGTTCCTTATTTCTCCGACTCGTCGTTGGTTTGTTTTTTTTTTTTACTTTTTAATCGTTTTATCACGACGACCGTCCCCCGTCATCGTCGTCGTCCGGTTCTAAATAAGCGAGCTAAACGTCCCGCGGGAAAACTATACGAGCACCGCTCAATCACGTCGCGTCTTGACGCGAGGAAAATACAAATATATATTTTACACCGCCGTCGTTGCGTAATTATTCATACGTTTGACACAAAAGAAAATATCCGACGACGGAGTTGTTTTCTGAGCTGTCACGTTTATTTGTCGAAGTTACTTGAAAACTCGCGGGGGTAAGGTTTTCCGTGTACGAAATGCGCGTTCGGATATTACATATTGGTTTTTTTTGAGAGAGAAATGCGTGAGAGAAAAATAGGTTCTTTAACCGAAAACGTATAATACTTTGTGACAAGATACACTTTATATACTTACAGATTCCACGGAGAGAAGGTAAAAGGATATTAAAAAATTAGCAAAGTAATGAGAAAAACGGGAAGAGAGAGAGAGAGAGAGAGAGAGAGAGAGAGAGAGAGAGAGAGAGAGAGAGAGATAGAAAGAGAAATATATATATATAGAGAGAGTAACGTTAATACCAATGAGTAAGTCTCGTAGCTGTTGCAAAGAAGTGAGATAAAATGAAACGGTTACATCGGACTTCTATAGAGTATAATCGTGTAATAAAAGTACGTTCACGCGCCGTGAAAAGAGTCAGAACGAGAAAAACGCTTGTAATTAAATTCGAGACATAATAAAATCGGACGAGCAACAAACACAGTAAGATGAGGAAATTACTGTTAAAGAGAGAGATCGAAAGTTTCTCTTTCGACTGCCGTCAAACAAGAAATACGCCCGAATAAAAATGAATAGAACAAGAGAGGAGCGATTAACTAAAAAATTCGCGAATGAACGCGCGTTCTCGAGTGGGATAAAAATTTAAATTAAAGAAGAAATTATTGAATTTTCGCACGCGCAAAAAATATAACCGGTATGAGGTGAAAGACGTGACAGCAATGCGGAAGTTTTCGCTTAACTGTTGTTATAATAATAATAATAAAATTAATAACTTGCAAAACGAGCACAACGCAATAAAAGCGTTCGCGTTGCAATAAGCGAATTTTATCGTCTTCTTCCTTTGATGATTTCGTTCGAGGTTGTCTCGCTACTCTCGCGTATGTATCTCGCATCACGTTTCCCAATTGCAACAATTTTCTTCGATAAAATTTGTCACGTTTTTTATTCGACAATTCATTTTATTCCTCTCTTGGTGAGGAAAAAAAAGATGCAAATCTTAAGCGAACAGACGCGGTATCGGCAAATGGATCAGAAAGATCTGGGAAAATGAACGTTCGTATATCCTTTTCACTACATGAAGGAACAAATTTAATATCGAAGAAATGTCATTTAAAATACACGAACACTCATTACACGTATGTTTTTTCGTTTTTTACATAATAAAAAACATTACTACTCATTTTTTGTGTAAAATTATAATTGCGTATCAAGAGTGTTGCGATCGCGCGAAATTGCGTCGAGATCTTGCGTTATAATTTACAAGTTCATTAGAATAACAACGACCAATAATAATCGACGTGTTCTTACGTTACTAATTTGTGAAAATGTGTGTGTTTTTTCGTGTCAAAACCACGATATAAAGTTATAAATACGAGTTAAAAAAAAACTAACCTCGTATTTTGAAAAAATTATTCTTTAAATATCTTAAAAATAAAACAATATAGTTTACTAACATGTAATATATTTTGATAATTGCTTTTGTACATATCTCTAAAAAACTTATTACGTAAAAAATCAAGATTTGAGAATGATACTTTTCACATGTTCTTTTAGGTGACTAGTTTTTTTGTTCCTTTAGAGAGGTGACTAAGATTTTTACTTGTGTAATTACATTTATCACATACGTATGATTTTCTTAAGAACCGTACCATAATGCAATAATAAGAATGTCATATATTCACAAAAGTCATTACATATCTGAAGAATTAAATATATATATATATAGCCTTGATCTTAAAAATCTCTCTCAATTTATATCTCGTATATAAATATATTTGTAGAGAAAACATTTTATTTCACAGTGATAACGTTTGTCAGCACTTGTTGATGCTGTTTCACTAGTAGATGCCATAGTACTTATGCTCTATGTTATATAATAATAAAAATACAATTTTACGTTACGGTATCACTGACTTAATGTTTAATGTTGCACTTCTCTTAAACTTTTCTACAACTTTGATATATACTCTTGTAATAAACAAATAATCACTGTGTTGTTAAAAGACGTCAAACAGCAACTAAAACTTCGAATTTGACATTGCAAAAGCAAAGTAAAACATAAACAAGAAACGCAGTTGTCCACTCGTATTTATATTTTGAAATAAGCCGTATACATGATAACGACCATATAACCATTTCGATACAATTTGTTAATCAATGTTTTTAAATTTTTCCAAATATAACACGTAATATCATTTTAGGTGTTTTTTGTAATGTTTTAAAGAATGGCGGAATTGGTTTACAATGTACTTATCATTAAAATTATAACCTCACTTATAGGATGGCTACAATAGTTTATTTTACTAATATTTTACATACTGATAAAAATTATAAAATATGTTAGAATTATTATCATATATATATGGTTTTAACATAATTTATGTTGAAAGTAAATATACATGTATGTTTTCGTATAATCGGCATTGTTTGTGCAAAAATAAGGTAACATTTTGTAATAAACTACTTTTTGTGTACGACATGTAGTCGTGTTTTATTTTTACAATATTTTCATATCATATATAATACTCATGTACATTATCATATATTTTAGTATATAAATATGTGCTATGCACAGTGAATATATATAATATGTTAAATATTTTCCATGTATAAACTTGAAGAATATACATGTAATACGTTTAAATGTACTTATATTTATATAATTATATACTTATATTTGTATGAATTTATATAAATATACATGTATATTTTAATATCTAACATATTATAATATAAAAATATTATTGTACATTGTTTACATGTTCTAATTATTTTCTACATATCGTCAAACAATTTACTGCATGCACTAATAAAATCTATAAGTTTTCCTAAACTATATTAAGTCTTGTGTGTACGTATAATCTGAACAAGTTTGTACATATAAGCATGCATGTGCCACAATATAACTTTATGAACAGTTGTTACGTTTATATTTGCATTACTAAACATATTACTGTACATATTACTTTTCATCATAACTTATAATTAAAAAAAGATGTTAGAATCTAATAACCATATTATACATAACATATGTGACAATCAAACAGCAGTAACAAAAAAACAAGTCGATGTACATTCTTGTTCTTTTTTTCGTCATAAAATGAATAATAACTAGAAATTTTGGCTCGAAAAGTCACAATATGCATTACATGGTGGACAGTCCTTTTGCAGTGCTACATTTAGATGAACGGGAAGTACATGAAAAACAAAGAAATCATATTGGTTATTACATATTTCACATAGAAATGGCCAACCCGAATGACCAGATCGATGATTATCTATTTCCATGTTCATTTTTTTATTTGGTGGTCTCAAATAAAAGGATGAAACAAAGATATCACACTTTTCCTGTTGGTCTTCAGAAATATATGACCATTTTAAAGAAACATATCGGAATTCATCTAACGTCGTTTTTTCTTCATAAATTGTGTCTCTTATCTTCAAAAATATAACATATAAATTTATACAAATACAATTAAAGAAATAATAAGGCCAGTAAAAGCTACATATAAAATGTACGTGGTAGATATATTTTGAAGTATAATATACTACAAAGTATAATACAAACATATTTAAAAATCAACTTCACAGTTCTGTATACATCTCATATAAAAACAATGTTTTTGTTTGCTTATATAATTAAAAAATCAAGAGCAAAGAAAACATCCTGATCAAGAGTCAACCGCGCATTTTGTGCAATTATCGTTCGATTTACACTTTCTCGTAATTAGTTTTTGCATTTCACATATGGCAAAAAAAGAGTTATTTCTACGCAAGATG